AACAGCCTTTTCCTGTCTTTTTGATTAAGGTTTCTACCTCTCTTTGAGTTGATACATTCTAATGTATGGGGGCCTTCACCTATTATATCCACATAAGTTAAAGTTCATGGTGTGTTAATTTGTACTTAAAAAGTTCAACTGATTTTTCTATATAGTCTTATAAGTCCTTTTGACTTTGTTTGAAACATGAGATAATTACCCAAAATGAGATTTTGATATATGGATTCCTCAAAATTCACTTTAATTTTTGAATCATCTAAAAATCATATAAAAATTGATTTTAATTTGATATTTTGATTTAAACTGATTAGATCTAGTTTTGTTAGAAATTTGAAATATCTATTCAATGTGGATTTTATTCTTTAGGGTTTATTTGTAAGTGCCCTGTCTCATTTCTGTGTATGAATTGTGATTTGTCCTTTGGTAACTTGTTTGCTAATTCTAGCGGTAGAAATCAGAGATTTTACTTGAAGATTAAGCTTGATAAACAACTGATATATTTAATAAGTCTCTGTCTACTTCAAGGTTTGAATTACTTAGAAACAAGCTGCAAGTTACTGCTGCTGCTACTGGTACAGCTGAATCTTCTCCTCAGTTGACTAAAGACAACCAGAATTGATGAATTGATGTATCTTTACAGCTTACTAATGTACTCAAGTCACTTCTGATAGTCAGCTGCTCATATTTGAGGTCAGTTACTGCTACTATCTGCTGCAGTAACGTGTTCAGTTAATTCTTGTGTAATTTTCAGTTTAGTGGCTCATATTTGAGGTCAGTCACTACTGCTATCTGCTGTAGTAAGTGTTCGGTTGCTACTTTTGTAATATTCAGTATTGGTGAAAGTAAGGTTGCTGTCTGCTTGTGTAATATTCAGTTTGGTAGTAGTCAGATGGCTATCTGCTGGTTTTGGTCAGGTTGCTATCTGAAAATTAGACTAATATCTATTGTCAGAAGTGTTCAATTGCTAACTGCTTGTTTGCTCTAAGTTTGATCACATTAATGATAATTAGTTGATGCTTGTGTAATATTCAGTTTGGTAAAAGTCAGATTGCTATCTGCTGGTTTTGGTCAGATTGCTACCTTGTGTTTTTTGGGTGCAAGTCAGTTTGGTGGACCATAGCTTATGTCTGTGATCAGTTTGCATACTGAAAGAAGTGATTCATTTCAACCGAGATTCCAAGAACTTTTACTCAGTCTGAGAGAAGATATTGATATATGAAGATGCACAATGCTGCACTGTTCTGTTTGCGGGAAAATAATGGTAAAAGTGCAACAAATCCCAGTCTAGTTTAAGAGAAGATATTAGCAAGAAAAATGTAATAATCTTTCCAGGTTTAGTTTGAGGGAAGATGTTAAGCATTGTTAGGAGTTTGTTAAAGGTTCGGTTAGTTTGTTAAAGCAATGGTTACTGCCGTTAGGTGTTAGTTACTGTTCAGCTTAAAGCAGCCTATAAATGGTGTCACTGTAGCTTGCACTTGTTATCAGAAATATACAACAGAATTTTTTCCAGAATACACTCTTCTTCTTCTTCGTCATTTTCCTCTGTTTTTGCGCCTAACCTTACAAAAAGAAATACTGAGTGAATTCAAATGAAGTGTAAACTAGTACACTGTGAATTATGGATGATAAATCTTATTTTAAGGATAAGGGTAATCTGTACACTCATCGCCCTGTGTCCTTCCTTGAATGGTTGCCACTCAAGGAAGGATTTGACAATTAGAAGGGGGGGAGCCGTTGTCTTGGGAGGGTGTGCCACCCCACTTCAGCTCTACATCCAAAGGCTCGACTACATGCACTGCTCTGTCACTCATGCCAAGAGCGATCTGATTAGGCTCGGATGGATGAGCTGCTATGACAAAAGGATAGGTGGGAGTGTTGCTGCTGCAGAATACATGTTGTCAATGAGCGATGGATTTTACGGGCTCCCACATTTTGATACAATGAAATATACAAAAAAATGCCTTGAAACATCTGAACTGGTTTATATAGAATAACTGAAATATACATGTATGCAGCGCCATCAATAAATCTTCCAACAATGAGCTCAGAGCGATAAGCCACGCACTAGGCCAAGGCTTATAACATACTATCCATAAAAAACCATTGAAGTAGGAAATTTTACTCTAGCCAGTCAGCGTGGAATTAGTACAATGATGATAATAGGCTACATAACTAAATCTTTTATGCAAACAACAATATGTGATTTGGCGTCTCATTGACCTTAATTATTGTGATGCTGTGTTTCCACAGTATTAGAAATAAGACTATGGTCGGTAAGTTTAATGAAAGAACTGAAGAAAAACTACAACATGATGACATGGAAGCAAAACTTACAGAACGTGAACATTCAAGCTTGCTGTCATAAATGGAAATTTTGGCTATCATGAACCACAAAAACATGTGTTTGATCATTATGAAACTGGACTTTAGTTTGTCCGACCAAAGGGGATTGACGGCCAGCTGGTGCTTGTATGAACCTTGATTTCAGCTTCTCCCATTTATCAGTACTCCACAAGTCCACATACATAGCTGCATCAAATTAATTGAATATAAATAAATTATTAAGTAGTGGAAATAAAAAAACCCAGAGATAACAAAGAAGAGAAAGCTTAAACTTGATTTTTGGGACCCTGATTGAAATTCAATAGCATTTAGAAGTGACTGGGGGAAGCCATGTTTGAAACTTGTAGTAAATTAGAGTATTTCCTCATTTGTATGACTGACTGTTGTTTTCAGTGTAGTAAGTGATTAGCTACGCTGGAAGTAGAACATTTTCCATTCTTATTTTCACTTGTAAGTCCTATATAACTTCTTTTTTCCCTACCCACAACTTGTTTTGAATTAAGATTGCTAAGGGATTTGAACTCAAATTACTTGGCTCACTTAGCATGATATCATGTATTCATGTTGAGTAACCACTTGATCCAAAAACCATATCAAAAGCTTCAGCTTATAGCCAAGAGCCCAATAATGGTATTTAAGCTATGACAGTACCCAAATAACCAGATTCATGTTCAAAAATAATTCTAAAAGAGCATTTCCATGGAAAGATCTTCACATTAGAAATCCCCTCAAAACAATTCGATTCTTCGACTTCACCTATTCAAACGACAGCTTATATTTGGGCACTTCTCAACACCTATTGCTGAGAAGGTACCATCCAAGAAGACTATATTTACATAGTAATTCAACTATGTTTTGAAATTTTACCAAAGAAAAGGCTCATGTATGCAGGCATTGGTTACCCTAAATGGCTTAAGATCAATCTCAAATTGTAACTTCGATTTCATGTAAAGTAATTTGCTCCCCAGATAAGCAAAAATTCATAGAGCAAACCCTTAATGGTCCAAATGTTCTAGGTTTCTTACTCTTGACAAAAAAAATTATAGCATCCAAATTAAACATTATTAAGAACAACTAATAGCCATAAACATTAACATATTAAATTTTATATTAGTTAGGCACTAACCTGAGCATCAACCCCTGAAGACACCAATGCATTTAAAGTTTGGGAAAATGTAAGCCCTGCGATTTGATTTTCGTGACCCTTAAGTTTGGTTTTGACCTGCCAACAACATCCAACATTAGTTATGCTTCCTTATTATATGTCACGCAATAAGCTTTAGATAATCAAGAGAGCTATTGATTAGATTATTAAAATAGCTATACTTAAGTTTTTTCTATTGTGATGGACTCAGGTTCGCCTTTTTGTACTTTTGTTGCATCTGTGTTTGTTCAGGAAGATGATGTGTTTAATTTAAAAAAAAAAAAATGATGTCAATAGTCCTTATGGAATTATACTAACCATCAATTCCTTAAAACAAGAAAGTAACAATAAGACTTTCCCTCTAATGAACTCTGCTAAGAAGCATAAATCAGACTGAATGGTATAGGTAATGATTCAACCAAATCAGAATCAAATTTACATTAACAATCTCAAAATATCATCATAATCAACTATAAATTAACACTAGCTATAAATGGAGGCAAAGCAGTTGAACATATCCTTTGACCAGGTATACAGAAAACTAGCTTCAGAAATTAAATAAAGAAAACGACATATGAAGTGAGAAACTTCACCTCATCAACTCTGATATTGTATATTGAATGGTAGAATCCTCCATCCCAATGGCAATAATATTATTATCTTGAGGTGGAATGCCAAATAGGTAGCTGCCAGAGGTGGGGGCATAAGCATCGTCATGACCTAAGACATAGTAAGCAATCTTATTCAGTCATGTGGAATCTCAAAATATTGCAAAAGCATTATCTCAAGCAAATATTGTTGAACATGTATGAAATACAAACTTCAAATTTGGAGAGGTGCAATAACTTACCTTGAATGTCATCATGTTGAATAAGGAAACTTTTCCACCGGAGGCAGACATAACATAAGAATCATATTTGGATAAAGCGATGCATGCAGCAGACCTCTTCAACTGGTTTATTATCATTTATGTCATTGGTCATAAGTGTTCCACTAGGAGGTTGCCACACTAGAGCGCTACGTATGCAGTAGCTTGACGAGTTTGCAACTGACAATAAAAAGGTCAAAATATAAAAACAGAAGAAATTTATAAATGGAAAGTAATAAACCTTCCTCGAGGGATTCCTTTCACTACATTGCCATTTCCAAAGCTTGTGAACAGCGCTGGCGGCAAGGGCCAATAGAGCTAGACCAGAGTTGGTGTATCCCAGGCCTAAATATAAGGGAAATTACCAATGTATTTCACATCATTTATGCCTAATGTTTTATTTGGCTATTTATACATTGATTGGTATTAAGCTTTTGATGAACTTGATATTGTTTCTTTTTCTGCGTCTATTTGTAAGAAGTCGTGTGGTTTAAATATGTTTCGCCAGTCCTCTCCTACTTTGTTAATCCATGAAACAAGCACTACCATGTAGAGAGGGTGTATTATGCCCTAACTTCACAACTGAGGTGGCATTACCATGTGAATTGGCAGTCCACATATCATCATCCTCAGAGGTATGTCACGATATTCAAAAAAAGAAAGGAAAAATTCAAAAGAAAGGTTAGCACATCAGATGAGCAGGTTTAAACTAGCATTCCAGCATTTGACTTAACATTCTAGAGTTCCTGGCATTGTGCATCTAATTCTTTAGAATATACGGTTGGTATATTAACGAAAGATATAGTTCATATGATTTGCATAGCTTTATAATAGTAAAATATCTCATATATGAGCACAGGCACACAAAGGGCAGTAAATAACCACAAAGAAAATATCCAACACCACAGAAGCAGAGGGGTTTCTTCCTAACTGAAATAAAATGCAAATACTTGAATTCTTTACCACCTACCGTGCTTGGTGCTATATAATCAGGTACGCAGAGAGCTTTCATTTGTGTCACCAACATTTGCCCCCACTACAGTCCAAAGAACAGAAATTTCAATCAATAATAAATAATCTCTGGAAAAAGTTTTATAAATTTTTCAGTGACCAGTCATTAAACAGTGGTTTTTTTCTAATTTTTTACCAAGAAGAATACTATGGATGGAAGTCCATGCTCATGACATTAGATCCTTGATTAAGGGTTCACACAACGGCTTTGGTAAGGCTAGCTTGAGAATATACATTGGGAGTATGTGCCACACCAGCAAAAGACACCTAGAAAACCAAAAGATAATAAGAGGTGAGAAAGGAACAAAAGAATTGTTACAACCAGCTGATGTAAAGGCCATTTAGAAATTTATAGCAGCTATCAAGCTTGAAAAAACAATAGATTATGTCACTCATCCAGACATCATCAGATTGGCCAGTGCAGATACGCTTCATCAAATGCTTTGAATACTCTGATTGACAATCCATCCCATTCATACCTGTCGGCGTCCTTGGATGTTTCAAGAATGCAGCAATAGCACCTGGAGATGGGGAAACAACACTCTGATATGGCTGCACAGTAAGAATCATTACAATTATTATTTGAGTATGCACCAATGTTTTATATGGCAGATGGATGCAAAATACTCACACCATGAGCACCAATAGGCGAAATGCACCAGCCTTAGGAATTGGTCCCACAAGCTGGGCTGTTTGTAGGAGAAGGACTAGCTCCTTTTGCCGTAGGGTTGCAAGAATGATCAGTGAAGAGTGTTTTAATATCAGGGTTTGGACAAGGATTCTTGCAATGTTGATGCTGCCAATTTAAACTGAAATTTTTTTTTAAAGAAGTGAGTTCTAGAAAATAAGTCTATCAAGAGGAGGTAATATCATCTGCAAGTGTAAATGATATCAATCACCTTACAAATATAAGAGCAAAAGCGCAAACCCAAAGTAGAAATCAACTAATATATAATATACCAATACAAATAAATATTTGTAAAATGCATTCTCTAGGTTTTGTTTTTACCAAAAAACTTGCTGCTGCACACTGACACAGGAAAATTAACTGATATGAAAAGATTCAAGAATAACCTCGGGTTTATTAATGTCCTCAGTTGTGAACTGTTGAAGGCTAGGAATGTAAGCTTGTCACGAAACAGGGGGTTTGCTTCAATTAGCTTATTAAGTTCTACAAGCATAATATTACAAACCGATTTTGTGTCTCCATACTTGGAAAGCTGCTCATTTTTCCGGATCACGAAGTGCCAACAGAAAAAATCAACCAAAAATTTTAATGGCATACCATACCAATTAAAAAGAATGGTGGAGTAGTCACCTAAATCAACTAAAGCTATCAAGTGTAAGAAGCTGGGTAAATCTCCTTGAAATGTTCTTCATTGAAGGATGCAAAAACCTTAAGGTCCTAGTCAAGAATCTCAATAGCCTTTGCTCCGATCCTGCCTGATAACATGAAGGAAAAAAATGGAACATTATTATGCATATATGGGTTAAAACTCTACATATGAAAACAAAACTACTTCCTTCTTAATGAATGGCAATACCATTAATTTTTAATATGTCCTGATGATCACTTCAATGGGTTCAGTATATTGGCATAATGAATCAGAAGTCTATTACTTTCCCTTTAAATTTACTCTTCAAACCATAGAGCTAATAAATTGCTTTGGGTACACAATTCCTAGGGCTGCAAAGTAAACTAAATCTTCCAAAAGGTTCCATGAACATTCATCGTCTTCATATTAAAAATACCAAGAATAAACCAGTATAGGAAAGGTCATTGAAGAATTAACTTCATCATTTCATGTCGCGAAGGAAAAAATTTTAGCACAATACCAGGTTATGGGTGGTGGTGACATCATCTGAGGTCAGGATTTGGCTTCAAAATGTGTGGCCATGCTGCACGGCTGAGGCAAAGATCTGCCAACCAGAGCAGCTCAAGCGAAGATTCGGCCAGACCTTGAGTAGCTAAGTCGTTGACCGCTTTGCCACCCCCAAATAAGGCCTTCGTAGCCAGAATTAAATAAATTAATAAATATTAAGAAAATATTTTTAAAAATCTTTTATTTTTCGAGAAAATATTAATAGTATATATGAAAGAGAAATGCTATAATTGTACAGTCAATTCATCTAATATCACACACTTACCGCATGACTTTGTTGTGTGTTGATGAAAATTACAGTTTCTTACCATCCTATTCTTTCACAGAAATTTGAACAATCTGTAATTATAAAGAACAACACATTAATAGTCAAAGCAAAACTATAGAAAATGTTATTTGCAGATTCTAAATTGATCATAATTTATCAATTAATCAAGAAAATGAGGAATTTCGTCAACAAGTACTTCTATATATGCTTCAAAAACACGTATAAATTAACTTTAAAGAAACATAAATTGTAATATTGTAGCTTCTCTATATATACTTGATAGTCTATACTTGATTCACTTGGAAAATTTTAATTAAAGACAAAACCAATAATAAAGACCATTAAGGATTCACTAGTATTAATTTAATGAAAGAGAACAAAGAAATCTACTTAAAAAGTATAATTTTAAGTAAACGAATACTTACCATTTTGTAACAGTGGTATGATCATATCAATCTCACTCTCCAAATAATGTTCATGGTTCAACAAGTTTAACCTTGGCATGCTTAAGCCTCCTCCACAAAAAGTCTTCATCTTGAAGCATTTACCCACTTGTAGTGTTTCCAAGAATGGGAATTTTAAAGTGTAATCCCCGAAGCAGAAGCATTTGAGACTTTCTGAACGATACAATTCCAACTCCATCAATTTCTCAAAAACAATTTCACCTTTCTCTATATCTCCCTCGTTTGCTATTACTTCTATCATCATTTCACATCCTTCGATACTCAACACTTTTAGGTTCACCAGACTTTTGGCTGTTGAGGATGACATTAAGTTTTGCATTCCATTGCAATAGCTTATCCTCAAAGTCCTCAAATTTTCAAAAGATGCTAAAGATGGCAACATAGTAGTCAAATTGTGACAATGATTCACCTCAAGACTATCAAGATTCTGAAGAATTGAGTGCAATTGGAAATCTTGTTTCCAAATACACTTTAAATTAAAAAGTCCTTCCAATTTTAAAACTTTTAATTTTGAAAGTGCTCCGACGTATTTCTCATCCTTTTCAAATGAGAATATCTCTTTGTATGAACTTACTTTCAATACGAGGTTTTCGAGACTGTTAAATTTGTGAAGAATTTGAATTGGAGTGTTTGTATATTCATCCTTAATCAATTGAAGAGTTTTTACTTTGCCAAAGCTCTCTTGAAATTCTCCTTCCCAAATCAATATGATGTCCCTTCCACTTAATGTCAATTCCTCCAAATTGGAGTCAACCTAAAGAAAAATCATGTCAATCAAATTAAAGTTAATATTTCCCTTAAAAACATATAATAATAATATACATAAAATTAAGCAGGAAAAAGATATTTATTTAACCTTTTTTTCCCCTTATAATTACCATGTAATTAGTCCAATTACTTTATTGGGCCACTTATAACCCTTGAATCAGAATAAAAAAAGTTAACCTGAGGGCTGAAATCGATACCTCTAATTAATGTTGATTTGTAAAATATGATAGTTAAAAACAAGAATATGACAAATGGAATTAGCCCAGCCATTGGAACAAATTGACTTTTTGACGAGCCTTGTGCTAGGATAAGCCTAGTTCTACGTAACACTAGATTACATCTTCCAATGCTAGAAGGAAATATGTAAATCTTATTCTAACGCAAAATTTGCATTACAATACCCATACACAAACTAACTTTAAAAAAACAATTTATTATAATTAACCCTAAAAACATAATATTACCATAAAATAAATATTCAAACTAATTAATTGAATACATATACCTCTTTTTTGTGTTCTTGTTGTATGATTGCAGTAAGGCCATTTCCCTTATTCTCTACTTCCATCTCCTCCAACTGCCATTCAATCTCATTCAAGCTCTTATAATTGACTTTTAGTAACTTTGGTGTGCTTAAGATTCCTTGACAGAAAGTTTTCATATTGGGGCAATTTCTTATAATTAACTCTTCCAAAGATGGGAAATTGAAAGAGTAATTCCCAGAGCAAAAGCATGTAAGACTTTCTAACCTTATAAGTGAAAACTTCTTCAAATTATCAAAAACAATTTCAGTACTCGTTGTTGCATCTCTTTCTCCACCATTTTCTACTATTTCAATCAACATTCTACAACTACTTATTCTCATTTCTCTCAATTGCACCAAGTTTCTAGCTGTTGAAGGTGTTATTAACTTCATCATAAACTCGTTGCAATAGTCAACTTTCATAACTTGAAGATTCTGGAAAGAAGCTGAGGATGTATCTAGACTCATCAATTTGCTACAACTCTGTAAATCTAGAACTTCAAGATTTGGAAGACTTGGAAAGAATAGCTCTTTGTATTGATGACAATAATACAGGTTGAGCTCTTTCAGATTTTCAAATCTTTGAAAGAGTCCAATTGAAAAATTTGTTGAGTCATCACGTCCGATCTCAAGAGCTTTAGATTGACTTCGCCATTTAATATTTTTCATGCCATTCTTTAATTCAAATACGTCCAAATCATGATTGATCTACAAGATCCATCAAAAACAAAATCCAATTAGCTTTTTAATTATATAGTTAAAAACGAAAGTTTAGTTATTGCTCAAAAGTCATAGGCCAAACCCAATCAAATTTTGACAAATCAACTACAATATATTTTAAAACTTGTAAATTATATTTTATTAATATTTAAATTTTCAAATCAATATTAAAAATTGCATTCAAAAACTATTTTTGAAAACTACAGATTATACCTACTTTTTTGTTTTTGTTTACATTATTTTTGAAAATAGGAAATAGAAAGGTACATTTCAAATTATTTTTATTTTTAGATTATTTTTTCAAAGGGCTACCATGAATCAAATTTGTGAGCAAATGTGTCATTAATGTGATTTTACTCCTCGAAACCAAAAAACTCCACTAATTTGGAAGACTACAATATACACTTCCTCATTAAATTATTTGAATTTAAGTTGGAATATAGTGGAAACGGCTATAGATGCAAATAGGGATGTATACGAGCCGAGCCGAGCCGAGCTAAGTATCTCGGTACTCGAGCTCGGCTCGTGATGAACAGTACCGAGCTCGAGCTTGAGCTTAATCGAGCTTCAGTACTCGAGCTCGAGCTCGAGCTCGCGAGTGTGAAGGGGTACTTGAGCTTGAGCTCGAGCTCGCTTAATCGAGCTCAAGCTCGAGCCTGATCAAAACTCGATAAGTGTTTTTGAATCTTTGAATCTTAGAATAAGAAGTCCTCCACCTTTTCAGGCCAATAATCAAAAACCACAATAATCAGTGCAATATTAGTATCCAATTCTTGGAACTAAAAAACACTGTTGAGCTCCAAAAAAGAACAATCAATAAAACTACAAAGAAAATAACAAAATGAACAAGTTCATTAAACAAATAACCTCCCTCAGTCCATAAATTCTTCAGATAATCAAACAAAAACCCATGTCACAAACGATGACTACACAACACACCCATTTGTTAACAGATACCAGAAATCAAAACTCTACCCAATTGAAAGAAACTTCTCCACTAACAAATCCATCATTGAACAGACCCCATTTCCTTAAAAAATAAAAGATCCCCACTTATCAAGAACAGCAACAACCCAACAAAAAGAAAATAAAAATCCCAATTTGTCAAAATTGCAAGCTATACCCAATCCAAAACATCTCATGTACTGCCAAACCCATCAAACATCCCCATTCCTCAAAAAAAAAAAAAAAAAAAAAAAAAAAAAAAATCCGGCCAAAGACCATAAAAGAACCTATTTTTCCCCAAGTTACCGAAAAAATAATCTTTACCCATTTGAGAACAGCCTCTGAACTACGAAACCATCAACGGAACTTGACAAAAAGCACGAGGTTGCAAATAAAAAGAGAAAATAGAAAATGGGTGTTTCCCACCCAACTGGTTCAGGTGTGTTGCAAAATGGAAACCAGAGGGGCCTAGCGTGTGAAATAGTGGAACCTAACTTTGAAAGAGGAGGTGGACGCCTGGAAGGAGGTTGTGGTTAAGTTTGTTGAATCTGGTAGGTTACAGTTGGTTAAGTTTTACTTTTTGAGTTTTTGTTTCAGCTTTGAAAAATTGAAATGGGTTCTGCACTTCTGCGTTTTTGTCTATATGGGTGCTATTTACAATTTTAACAACTTAAAAATAAAAAAACTTTTGAAATCTTGCAAATTGCCTCCTAAGCTCGTTTAAGATCGCGAGCCTGATGAGCCGAGCTTGGCCTGGATCGAACTCGGCTCATCACTGTTCACGAGCTGCTCGAGCTTGGGATGAGCCGAGCTCGAGTAGCTCGCAAGCTACTCAGCTCGTGGCTCATCCCTAGATGCAAATCATAGCCATAAATTGCATGGCTGTGACGCGTGACCATAGATTGCAAACATGATTGATGGCTATGACTTCAACCCCAGCTTGCAAACCACGATCTGGTGGTTGTAGGCACCATTGCAACCATTTTTCAAATTTTTTTTAATTTTTTTTTTTCACTTTCTTAATTATTTTAACAATAATTAATTATTTTATTTTATTTTTAAAAATAGTTATAGAAATTAAATTAATATAAATTTCTTAAAAAGTTTTTTTTTCTTTTTTTCTAAATTTCTATTATTTGAATTTTCAATTTTAGTATTTAATGGTTACAACTTTAAAAATATAATTACAGATTTTGTAATTTTTTTCTTTTATATTTTCTAGTTTTATCTTCTAGTTTAGAAATATTCTTGTTTAATATTTCCTTTTGGTATGAAATGTCAATTTTATCCTCTTTGACTATAAGTTGGACTTTGGACATTTGTTTATTAATTTATTAGAGCTTCTAATGTAATTAATTAAAACATGTGGCCTATAACATTATCAAATAGATGTGATAATTGAAAAGAAATTGGTACATAATTTATTGATAGTCACCCTAATATAATTTGATTCAAAATTTAATTGATGTATTACTCTTGGCCGCCACCAAATCATGTTAAAATGATTTTGAATTTATGATCCTGTTTAGTAGGCTTTCAATTGCAAATTTTTGTAAATGATTTCTTCAATAATAAAATGAATCACCAGATAGACAAATTTTTGTAAAAATAAAATTTTATTGTTGATTTCTAGAATTATATTGGATGATTTTTTTTTTTTTTTTTAATCTAGTACATAAATCAGTTTAAATGATAAGGTCCTAAAGTAAAATTGTTCAAATTAAATAACCATTAATTTTTCTAAATTTTCTTTCCAAGGAAAAATAGAGATGTTAAGAATTCCATAATTAAAGTTTTTGAAATAAATGTAATATATATGAAAAAAGTTAATTTTCTATTTCAATAAAGAATAAAATAAAAGATTTGTACCTCATCGTCCAAGAAGAGAGATTTTGGCTTGGAAATATGAAGTTCACTCTCGCTATTTTCTTTGAAACTCAGATATTTTGAAGATAACTTGGCACAATTTCTCAATATCAACTCTTTCAACTTTGGCCATTCAGAAGTATGTCTTTCATGATAGAAAGCTGTAAGTTCGCGTAGATTTTGAAGCTGCAATAAGGTCACATTTGGAAAGACAAAATTGACAACTGCATTTGCTCCTTCTTCTTTTGCAACAATCTCCTCTAAAACTTCACAATTTTCAATCTTTAGTTGTTGGAGTTGGTGGAGGCTTTTGGCTATGGAAGACGGAAATGCATATTTTATGTTTCCACAATTCCACAAGAACAAGTGTGTCAAATTTTGATAAAAGAAATTTGGATGTTGGTTGTAGCAAATCTCTGTAGAATTGATATCTTTGAATGCCTTATACTTCAAATCAAGGGAAATGTCCTGCAGTAAAAATTAATAGTTGTTTCAATATAAAGTAATTAAAAAATAATAATTATTGTTTCTAATGGATTAGAAAAATGTGTCTTTTTGTAACTCTTAATAATTTCTAAAGGCCTAGCCCAAACTAAACAAAAAATAATATAAAAATGCCATCCCCTAACCTACAACTGTTTATTCCACTAGGGTCAATACTTAAAATTGTCTCCTTGTCTTCTTAGTGGTATACAATTGTATTGATAAACTAACAAAACTTGCTTCATCCTACTATTACTTGCAATCTTGTAGCTAAAATATAATATTATTAAAATATATTTAAAATAATGCAAAAATAAGTAAATATTTATACTAATTACTTTTAAACATACCTGTTTCTTATATGCTCCTTGTATGCTTTTATTAAGATCATTCCCCTCATTCTCTACTTCTTTTATTTTCTCCCACTTCATACTAGTCTCATTGAACCTCTCATAATTGACTTTGTGTAACTTTGGTGTGCTTAAGATTCCTTGAGAGAAAGTCTTCATATTGGGGCATTCTCCTATGGTTAACTCTTCCAAAGATGGGTAATTAAAAGAGTAATTCCCAGAGCAAAAACAAATGAGAGTTTCTAATCTTCTAAATAACAACTTCTTCAAATTTTCAAAAACAATTTCAGTATTCATTGTTGCATCTCCCTCATTTTCTACTATTTCTATCACCATTTCACATCCCTCTACGTTCAATTCTCTCAACTGCACCAAGCTTCTAGCCGTTGAAGGTGTCATTAACTTCATCAGCTCTATGCACCAACTTACATTCAGAACTCTAAGATTCTGGAAAGAAGCTAAGGATGGTCCTAGAGTGATTTGCATATGTTTCTCATCCTTTCCACATGAGAAAATTTGTTTGTATATGCACCCAGCTAGTTGAAGCACTTCCAGATTTTCAAATCTTTGAAGGAGCTCAAGTGAAATATTTGCTGACTCATCAAATTTGATCGAAAGAGTTTTAAATCGACTCTGCCATGTAATCTGTGTCCACTTGATCATTAATTCCAATTCCTCCAAATCAAAGTTGATCTACAAATCCATTAAAACAAAAATCTAATTAGCTTTTTATTCAATATTCGAATAATGTAAAAATTTGTGGCTTCTTAACAATACCCACTTTCATTATAACTAAAGATTCATGGATCTTCAAACAATAACGAATTAGATGATTGGTGAAAGAGAAGACTATGAAAAAGTGTTAAATCTCTTTTTGAAGGAAAATCTTGAAAAGTTAATTAATTTGATAATGTCACAATCAGAGTCACCCCATGGTTTTTGTGAATCTCCTTGACATTTTATCATTTTAAAGATTTGCTTCTTCTCTTATGTTTGTTGGATTCTTTTAGACTTTGGGCTTGTTAATTGTGCCTAAGCCCATTTGTTCCCTCCATAATCACCTTCCACTATCCTTGTTTCTTCATTACTGCTTCTGTTACGCTTTCCAAGTTTTTCTTTATATTTTAAATATGAAACCATTGAAATTGGTTTAAAACAACTGTGAGAAGGACAAAGAGTAATTGCAGATCATTCTTTTAACTTTCTGGTCAAATTAATTTCATAAAAGACACTACTATCCTATGAAAACTAAACATATTCGAAACAAACTTGTCTTTTTCTGGCGTATATAAAACAAAAGGAGTCCATTTTTGTCATTCTCCCTATCATCATATGGGTGTTTATGTCTTATAATTTTCTCTTTCTTAAATTTAATGGTAACTAACGTAATTTTGTCATTTTTAAACTGATTTTTTGTTCATCATGTTAAATAATTTTGAATTTGTGATCTGGTTTCCAATCATGAGAAGGATCACTTGTTCCAAAACAATTGAGGAACAATGTTTTAAGAAACTATAAGAAAAAGAAGACAAGTTCCAAAATAGTTTTAAAAAGGGATAAAATATTATTAGAGATAGTTAGATTTAACATTTTGTAAGAGTATAATTTTATACAACTTAAAAATATGTTTAGTTAAAAAGAAAATTTATATAAAATAATAATAACTAAAAGATTTATTGTTTTGTTAATAATTAAAAAGAAAAAAGTAAATTAAGCAGGGGCCTTGGCCAGCCGCGCACCACTTGCAAGGCCAGCCATGTTGTACGAGGAGAGATTTGACAGCTGGAAATTGTGAGTAAAATGACTTTGGTTTTGGGGAAGTATCAGTTGATGATATCTATATCTTCTCCAATACAAACTTTAAAATATTAGTAACAAAAGGTTGTCTTCCAATTGATAATATCCGAAAATAAAATTATATTGATAATTTCTAGTAAACATTTGATAATTTCTAGAATTATATTGGATGATTTAAACATAGTACTTTAATGAGTTTAATTGATAAGACTCCAGTAACAAAATTGTCCAAATCCAATTGACCATTAATTTTTATTTCTTTTTTCTAAATTTTTGTTAAAAAAAATAAAAAGAGATGTTAAAAATTACATTATTAAGTTATAATTTATGTAATATATACATAAAATGAAGGTTTTTTATTTTTATTTTTTTCTAATAAAGAAGTAAACTAGAGACTTGTACCTTATGCTCCAAGCAAAGGGATTTTGGCTCTGGAATATGAAATGAATTTTCTTGGAAGCTTAGATATTTTGAAGTGAATTTTTCACATTCTTTCACCACCAGCCTTTTTAACATCGGCAATTCACAAGTATGTATTCCAGAATAAAAAGCTGCAAGATTTGGCAATTTCTCAAGCCTCAAATATGTAACCTGCGGAAAGGCAAAATTAACAGTAGTTTTTGCTCCTTCTTCTTCCGCAACAATCTCCTCTAAAACCTCACAATCCATTATTTCAAGGTGTTGTAGAGTATGGAGGCTTTTGACAATAGAATATGGAAACACATATTTTATTTTTCCACAACTCATCAAGATAAACCGTGTCAAATTCTGATAAGAGGAAGACATAAGTGTTGGAAATGGGTTGTCCCAAATCTTTCCACAACTAATATTCTTCAATTCCAAGGCCATCAAATTGGTGAAAATAACCTGCAATCAAAGTACGAAACCATAAGAAAAAGAAAACATGTTCCAAAATGTTATTAGAGATAGTTAGATTTAACATTTTGTAGGGTATACTTTTTATACAACTTTAAAATATTTTTAGCTGAAAAGTAAATTTTTATATAATTAAAAAATTATTATCTTTATAATAACCTTTTTTTCTTTTAAAAAAGAAAAAAGTAAATTAAACAGGGGCCTTGGCCAGCTACGCACCACTTGCAAGGCCAGCCATGTCGTGAGAGGAGGGAATTGGTAGCTGCAAATTGTGAGTAGAATGACTTTGGTTTTGGGGAAGTATCAGTTGATAATATCTATATCTTCTCCAATACAAACTTAAAATATTAATAACAAAAGGTTGTCTTCCAATTGATAATATCTAAAAAACAAAATCATACCGATAATTTCTAGTAAACATTTGATAATTTATAGAATTATATTGGATGATTTAAACATAGTACTTTAATGAGTTTAATTAACAAGACTCCAGTAACATAATTGTCCAAATCCAACTGACCATTAATTTTTGTTTCTTTTTTTTTTTTTTTCTAAATTTTTGTTATAAACAATTAAAAAAAAAAAGATATGTTAAAAATCACATTATTAAGTTCTAATTTATGTAAAAATGAAGTTTTTTTTTTTTTTTTCCTTTTTCAATAAAGAAGTAAACAAGAACTTGTACCTTATGCTCCAAGCATATGGGGTTTGGCTCTGGAATATGAAATGAATTTTCTTGGAAGCTTAGATATTTTAAAGTGAAATTTTCACATTCTTGCACCACCAACCCTTTTAACATCGGCAATTCCCAAGTATATATTCCAGGATAGAAAGCTGTAAGTTTTGGTAAATTCTAAAGCCACAAATTAGTAACTTGCGGAAAGGCAAAATTAACAACTTTTGCTCCTTCTTCTTCCGCAACAATCTCCTCTAAAACCTCACAGTCTCTTATCTCAAGGCTTTTTAGAGTCTGGAGGCTTTTGGCAATGGAAGATGAAAACACATATTTTATTTTTCCACAACTCTCCAAGATAAAACGTGTCAAATTTTGATAGGAGGAAGACAAAAGTGTTGGAAATTGGTTGTCCCAAATCCTTCCAGAACTAATATTTCTCAATTCCAAGGCCATCAAATTGGTGAAAAAAACCTGCAGCCAAAGTTGATTGTTGTTTTAATAGTTACTCATATGGAGAGAGAAAAAAAAAAAAACTAATAATGGATTCTTATGGATTTATAGATGAATATGGCATTGATATAAACAATGTGTCTTTTATCTATCTAAAAAGTAATGAAATTTAACAGAAAATTAAAATCACTAGAAAAAAATGCAATTAGAGAAGAACAAATAATTCAATATCAAAGTTATGTGTTAACAAATGAGAATAAGTCATAAGAAAATATAATAGAGAAGTGTAAGAGGTTAACGTCAATCAAACCTTTTCATTAAAAAGTGGCTTAAGATTGTTATCATCATCTGAAAATTTAACCAACCGTAAGAGTTCAACATTCTTGAGAATTCGTAATTCTTCTAAAGAGATGGCAGAATCATATTGAAATTCAAACATTCTTGAAAATCCATAAATGCCGAGCTGTTGATATCCTATTGATATATTGAACCTTTTAAGCTCTCTAGAAAAGAAGTCTCTTGGCATCATCTTGTTATCTTCAATATATATTTCTAAATTGGTCAACTGAGATAAGTGCTTGACCTCCTTGAGTACTTCAACCTTCCACTGAATACCACAACCCTTTATGTACAATTCTTCTAGTTGGGATAGTTTTGATATCACATTTGGTGCAATAACTTTTAATTCCCAACAATTGCTCAAATCTAAAATCTTTAACCCAGTCAATTGACCGATTTGTGTAGACAACTCCTCGATATAAGTACTTTGCAAACTAAGGACTTTTAGCTCCTTAAGCTTTTCGATAATAGCAACATCTCTAATACTGCTACCATCTAAACACAATGTTTGAAGGTTTGTCAGATGAGCAAGTGACGACGGCAACAACTGCTGTATTCTAAATAAATTTAAAACTTTTAGCTTTGGCGTCATTGTGAAAAACTCCTTAGGGATTTCAAAAAAAGAACCCCTAAGAAATTCAAGTTTTGGACAATCTAATGCTTCAGGCCAAAGTTGAGTAATAATATTATTACCAACTAATGAGATAATTTTGCATTTTCTAAGTTTATCTTTATCCTTCCATTCCTTTTCAATGTCGTTTCTCTCTGTAAAAACATGGTGATCTGTATATGCACATGTTAAAGCAACAATGCGAACAACGTCACGCATAGAAAACCTTCCTTCGGTTCTACCATCAAGTAACAAGCAAGAGTCTTTGAGTTCCTTGACCACTGAATCTAATCTATTTCGTGCTTGTTCTATTGTAAGATTAGCTCCTTCAAGTATACCCAAGCCAACGATATTCTTGAGCAAGTCTAAAATGGAAGTATTGTTTTCCATTAGACTAGAAATTATGAAAGTTTTCTTGAGCTCATCACCTTCCAAATAATCGTAACTCAACTTAATCTTTGAATATTCCTTTTCTAAAAGTCTTGTGAACTTTGCTGGGGAAGGCATTCTTAGTATTCGCAAAGCATCTTCCCATTGAGATTTTTGTCTTCTACTCCTTAATGCCTTTGCTATAGTACAAATGACAATCGGCAACCCTCCACATTCTTTGCATACATCCTTTGGTAAAGAATTCAATTCAAGTGTTTGAATAACATTACCTGCACAAGAAGCTAGGATTATACTAATTGCATTTTCTATTCACATGCTTTTGGTTTAGAAACAACAAAAGTTCCAAGTGTTATTATTTTTCCTCTAGCTATCTTATTAGACATTTTCTAAATAGAACCATAAAATATATTCGAAAATCTTATTGAACTGCACTTGATTCCAAATAAAATTCCTTTCCACTCTTCATCTCTAAATCATAGAAATACATTTTGTCTTATCAAGAGCTTTAAGACAATATTTATGGAAAAGAAAAATAAGGTGATGAGAAATGGGGAAATGTAAAATAAAGCTGCCAAGTCAACTCTCATTACTGTGAATTTAGGCTGAAAATATTTAACTAACGCCGTCTAATAAAACTAATTCAAATATTAATGAATATACTTTAAATTTAACTCAGAAAGTAAAGTTTAGGTCCATAAATTATTCCCTGTTGACGGACAGCCATTATAAAACCCTGAAAAACTAGAGTGAAGCGCAGAGAAGTACTTACACAATGTATTAATTAAGATAAATAACCATAAAAATTTTATTCCTAACCCATTCACTCTATCTTACCGCCACACCCCCACCCGATTCCCATTAAACCCATTTCTTTAAATTTCGTCACTCTGCCTCGAGAAAACTCAAGCAAGGGACAGCAAATCTCCTTTTCTTCTTCCTGACCGCCTTACCTTCAAACCCAAATAGCGACACATTCGGTAGTTTTTTTATTCATCAATTTGGGCTAGGGAGGCTATTTTAAACCTGGATGGTGTTGTTTTGGATCTTGTGAAGTTGATTTAATTGGTGATCTGGTTTTGTTGTGGCTGATGTGGTGGTGGTGGTTTAAGGGGTGGTGTTCTGTGGTGTGGGTGCAATGGGGATGTGTTGTGGTGTGGGTGCAATGGAGATATGCTGTGGTGTGCGTGTAATGGAAGTGTCCTACACTTTGCGTGTTGTGGTAGTGCGCTGGAGGCCAATGGGTGCGGCAATGGTCATCATCTGATTTGCTGTGGTTGTTGTGTGGTGGTCTAAAGGGTGAGCTGTGGTGTGGGTGCAATGGCGATGGTTGTGTTATGGATGCAATGGCGATGGCTCTGGTGTGGATGCAATGGAGGAGATGGCAATAATTTGGAGGTGCGGTGGTGGTGCACGGGAGGCTATGGTTATGACAGAGGTTGTCAGTCGCCACCGATAGCGGTGGGTGAGGTTTGTAACTACTGGGTTTTAGGAGGAGTGGAGGTTATGAAATTAAAAATGAGAAAGAAAAAAAGTTAATTCAATTATTTTTCAAACAAATCAGATTAAAAAATGAATAAAAGAGAAAAAAAATAGATTACGAATTTAAAAGAAAAAAAATTACGGTTATAAAATTACTTTTTAAAAAATCAGATTAAAAATATTAATAAAAAGAAAAAAAAAAAAAGATTAAAATATAAATAAGTTACACTTAATCCCAGCCAAACCCCACCCAACAGCTCCAACCTCTTCGCAACCAAATCCCTACCCAAAGAGTGTAGGTGATTCGTATGATAACCTTTTTATTTTTCTTTCACTTGTTATGATTTTGGGTTTATAATTATATGATTGTGGCTATTAATGATGATGGTGGATGGGTTTGAAAAAGCGGCGGTAGTGATGTATGTATGGAAGGTTGTGATTTTTGAAGAGAGGGTAGTAAAGAGGCAGTGGTTAATACTTGATATTATTATTTATTAAGGACCTAACCGATACTTTCTAACTTTACTGGATCAAATGTACTTAGGTTAAACCTGATGGACCAAAATGGATTTGCCTCGGCAAAAAGAATTACAGGCTTTGTTAGAACTTTGTTAGAAATATCAGGTCAAATAAAATGAGACTAGCTTGTAATATGAAAATAACCCTATGTTAGAATTGTTTCTGCATATGGAAACTAAACATAGAAATTTAATTCTCAGAATATTTAATTAGAGAATAAATAAAACTAATGTCAAAGGAATTTTCAAAAAAAAAAAAAAAAATTAATTAAATTAGATTTCTTGTTTTAATGAGAGGTTACGAAGATTAGTCAATTTTGCCCCTAGGCCAGCACTACTATTCTATCAATGGAGTAAGTATAGAGATTTTGAAAATATTTCATGTTATTACTATTTTTAACTTTTTATTTATTCATGTCAAACCATAAGACAAATTTTATGGGTTATCAAATTAAAATGTCCATCCCCAAATTTTATAATAATTACCTGCCATTTTCTTGAATAGGCTCCAAGCTTCTTTTTCATTCAAAATGCCCATCCCCAAATTTTTTGTTGAACCCATCTTCTCCAACACATCAACGTTTCTTGTTGTCATCAATATTTTATTTCTACCACGATCAGCTAGAGAAGGAATTCCTACAATCTTCAAATCTAGCTCTCCCCAAATATTATCTATGATTAAAAGGATATTCCTCTTCTCCATTCTTGAGTATAACTTGCTTGCTCTTTGACTCTCATCTTCCATTGCATCTTTGAATTTGAGACCTAACTTGTTTGCAATTACTGTTTGAATTTTTTTTGTAGCTGGAGTTTCTGTTACCTACAAGACAGAGAACCACAAAATATAATAATAAAAAGAAAATATTAAACAAATAACTGTGCTTTTTTTTTTTTTTTAAAGAAAAAAAAAAGATATTAATCTATTAAAAAAATAACCTAACAACAAAGTAAACCTTAGAAGATAAACTGAGCGAAGATATATAAAATTATAAATAAAAAAACGAAAAAAAGGATTTCTTCATAAAAAAGGAACTATTGAATACTTTTTTCTTGTTATTTATAATGAACGTCCTTATATAGAAGACTCAAGTCTAATTAATTTCACTCAAATAAAATTAATGAAATAAATTAAATTCTAATAATTGTCACTCTAAATAAATATCTTAATATAATAAAGTGAAACCCCTTAATTTAAACATTACCTCAACAAAAACAATCTCATCGAAGAGCTTTTCGTTGTCGGCTTTCCTACCAATTTCCTGCACAAGAGTGGTCTTGCCTAGACCACCCATCCCAAAAACACCCATCATGTAGATTTCCTCATCTTGTAAAGCATCCCATACATTCTTCACAGTGGAGTTTCTTGATTCGAAAGCCAAATAATCTTCATTAGATCTAAGCCATATCTCCTTGTGAATAGTAGGGCGGGAAACTTTATCGAATCTTTCTTCTTGCTGCAGGAGTGGAACAATATTATCTACCATTAATTCGGATGCCGCCTTGCTATTTCGGTAGCGGGTCTCGCAGTCAGTGCCAATTGAACTTTGGTTTTGAATCAACTCCTCTGCTTTAATAATGAGAGAGTCAACATCCTCTAGCCACTTGTTCACATCCTCTGTAATCTCTTCCACATTGTTTTTAGCCTCCGTAATCTTACACTGCACTTTCAGTCTTGCATTCTTCAGCTTCGAAACATCATCTCGGAGCTTGTCAAAGTTCTTCTCTAGCGGAATAGTAGGATAGGAAACTCTGTCGAATTTCACTTCTTGCTGCAGGAGTGGATCAATCTTATCCTCCATTAATTCGGATGCTGCCTTGCTCTTTTGGTAGCGGGTCTTGCGGTCAGTGCCAATTGAACTTTGGTTTTTAATCAAATCATCTGCTTTAACAATGATAGAGTCAACATCCTCCAGCCACTTCTTCACATCCTCTTCAATCTCTTCCACATTGTTTTTAGCCTCCTCAACCTTACGCTGCACTTTGCCTCTTGCATTCCTCAACTTCAAAACATCATCTCGGAGCTTGTCAAAGTTCTTCTTTAGTGGAATAGTAGGATAGGAAACACTGTCGAATTTCTCATCTTGCTTCAGAACAATATCCTGCTTTAATTTGAACGCCTTCTTGCTATGTTTGTAGCGGGTGATGCAGTTGGGGCGCAATACCTTGAAACATCCAGGGTTGTCTTCTTTCTCTTGAATCAACCTCTCTGCTTCAGTAATGGTATTATTCACCGCAGTCTGCCAGTCCTTAACGTTCTGTTTGATCTCTTCCACATTTACTTCGGCATCAGTAACCTTAACCTGCACGTCGTTCCTTGTATTCTTCAGCATCCTAACTTCCTTTTCGAGATTTCTGAAATTGGTATCGTAGTTGTACAAGTACTTAAATGGACGCCCAATCGGAGCAGCCAAGCACTTGACAGCCTCCAGAACAAAACTCCCGGCACCGGCGATAGCCCCAATAAGTTCTACAGCCATTTTAAAACTTTCTTTTCTCCTTCACTTCTTCCTCAAGTTCGAAAAATATAAAAAATAATAATAATAAAACAGAGATAATAACAGGTGCAAACTCAAATAACAGAACAAGAGTAAGGAAAAATGCTGAAATAATTTTTATTTTTTTTTTAAAAGAAGATCTTTTTATTCTTTTTTGTAAACCAAAAATAAGAAAATGGGAAGGATTTTTTTTTTTTTTTTTAAACAATAAATAAGAAATAAGGGAAAGGGAGAGGAGTGAAAAATCAAGCGATCGGGTTTCAGAGTAAAAGTAATTTTAGTGGTATCTGAAGGGGTGAGAGAGGTTTGTGAGGGAAAGAGTTTTTGAGTGATTTCTGAAAGATTGAGAGATAGAAGAGAACTGAAGAAGAAGAGAGATTGAAGGGAGGAAGAAAACAAAGGACAACGAAAGCAGTGGAGTTTAACTTACTACTGCTTTCCAGCTGGATCCAAAAGCGTTTCATATAAAGTTCCAAATTAATTATTTTTATAATTGACCAAAATGTGTTTCATGGTTTATACTTTATACTTTATAAAAGCATTTTCTTATATGATTCTCTTATTCCCAATTTCATCTTTGAACTTTTATCAAATTTAGTAAGAGTGAGGCAAAATAGAATTTTTTTAAATAAAAATTTTAACTTATAAGTTAACAGAATTGGATGACATTAGGGCTTAAGAGTGATTTTTTACTATTTCCCACTGAAAAATATAATAATTTGTATAGTTAACAAAAAAGTGAGGGATAGTTTGTAAAATTCTATTTATTCTTCTTCTATGAAAGATTAAATTTGTATTGAGCTTTATTTTCACAGCGTGTTTAAATGGTTCTAATATGAGCTATTTTAACGTTGCATTTAGTGGATTGTGAAAGCAGATCCTTATAATTTTCCAAAATAGTATGTAAAAATGCATTCTTATATACTTGCCTTATTAATTTGCAACTTTATTTTCCATCAATATTTCTTTAGTTGTTGTTCATAGGATCTGATGATTTCATTACTAAGAATAATTGATTGACAATGAAGACTCACTGTGTGAATAAATTTATATTTTATTAAAGTAAGAAAAAGTTAATTATTTGTTAACGTTAATCATCATTTGACAGCCAGAATCATCAACTACAGATTGATATACCTGGCATACTCTAATAAAAATCTTGAAGAAAAACAATCATAAAATAAACCAATTAACATTTTGAAGAAAAACAATTAATTTCCTTTCTTTGTAATTGATGATAGGAAAAATAGATTATGCAATAATCTGTTTAATTAAAGAATTCAAAAAAAATATATATATTTTACAGTTTTTAGATTTAAAAAGTTGCTTTTAGGGAGTTAATTATAAAAATACCCCAAAAGTTAATTTAAATTATAATTTTTTTATTATAAATATTTAAAATTAATAAATAGATAAATGTTAAAAGAGAAAAGTTAAAAGAATTTATTAAAATAAAAATTATCCTGATTTGTTCAATTATGGTAAACAAAACCATAATAAAGATTGCCCATGTTCATACTTTTATAATGAGGACATGACGCGGTAAAAGTGGGACCAAGAACACATGCGATTTGAAGTGTACTCCAATTTTCATAACTATGAAAATTGACTTTGGCACATGCTTAAGTTCTGTAATTAGGCACTGTATGAATACAACTATAATATGTTAACTTTAAGCTTCCAGCTGTAAATAATATTATATCCCCACACACAACCCATTTCTACATATTATTACAATTCATCTTCCTTCGTTTAGAGTTTAATCCTTGAGTTTGTGGTTAATTTATTTAAATTTAAAAAAAAAAAAAAAAAAGAACAAAGAAAAGAAAGAGAGAGATGGCCTCTATAGTAATATATGAGATCAATTTAAAGAACAAAATATGACATCGAAATAAAAAATTAAGGTAAGTATTCAGAATAAAAAATATTCAAATTAATTTCCCCATTGATTCCGAAAACTTCCCACGCAAGTTGATGCATATAAAATTAAAATCTCAAAAGTAAGAGGAGACTGATTTAAAACTAATATTTATTGCAATATTAAAATTCGAAAGATATAACTCTAAGGAATTGGTCTGGCGGTCAAAGAGGTTTGATTATTTCCTTAAGTTTTTGGGGTTCAAACCTTGAAACCACCAATCACAATAACATTATAGTTTACTTGGTCCTTCGAGCTTGTAGGATATTCAATGGATTTTGAGGATTAGTTAAAGTGCATATAAGTTGGCCTGAACACTCTGGTTACAAAAAAAAAATTCATCAGGTGACAGGGTACTCACTTGAATATCTTATTTCATAATTATTTTATTATTCATTGTCGTGGAAACTTAAGATTAATGTAGCTAAAGTTACCATCAGCTTTATTAAGTGCTGTTGCAAAAGCTATACAATTATACAATTGTTTTTATTAATATAATGATCCTTTATATTATCATCAGTTAGCTTTAAGAAAAGTAAAAGAAATTAAAACATAAAGCATGATTTGATAAAGTTAACGTGTATGTTGAATCTCCATGGATTTTCTCAAAGAAAGGGAGGGGCTATCCTATTTTGATTTTGAGGGACTGGATTCATATTGTACTGTAAAAATACTGATGAGAAAAAGTTAACAGAAATTTCGAAGAAAAGCAGGTAGTGTCTCCTAAAAAAGAAAAAGCAAGTACTCATTTTTCTAACTACTGTTCTACCAACCAACAAAAAATGAAGAAAATTAAAACATTCCAATAGAATATCCATTTAGTCCTTTTTTTTTTTTTTTTTATTTGCATATAACTTTAAAAGATATTAAAATCTTGACTGGTCATTTTTCTAGTTTAGATTTTTTGTTTGTGGTTTATTTATAATTTAATTAATGACCATCGACATTCTTGTGGGATCAACTATTAAGTGGGAGTGTATTGGGTTTATAATTATTTATAATAATCTAAAATCTTAGCTGCCATTTTATTGGAATTTTGTGGGTTAGGTGAGAGGAAGCAGGTGAGATTTGCATTTGGAAGATTGAGGACCAAGTTCCCCGGCCTCCAATTTCATCTTCATTTTTATAGATGTTGTTGTAAATCAATATCAATCCTTCAACCTGCAAGATTAGCCACAAAACAAACCAGAATCTGCAAGAACAAAGCACAAACACACAACACAAGATATACCGTGGTTCGCTTGTTCAAAATAGAACAAGATATACCGTGGTTCGCTTGTTCAAAATAGAACAAGTTACATCCACGTTGAACTCCAGAATATGGAGCTCGCTGCACTAGTATTGATTTCCTCAAAGATTACACTTTACAGAAGAATCTTCTTCACTGATATTCCCAGAAACAAACACTCACTCACTTCACTTCCCTATATCCCGCAAATCCTAATAGCCCTAGAGTGTTCTATAACCTTCAAGGAACCCCTGCCCTCAAACACAACTCTAGATAGATTCACACAGAGAAGAAACCCAGAATGAGCATGAAACCCTAACCCAGACCAAACGACTTTAAGAGAAAAACCAAAAGAATACCTAAACTCGATTGCCCTCAAATGCGTGAATAGTCCCTTTTATACTGTTGACTTCTGAATGCATTTGCGCGTTGGATTCTTTATCGTTGATGGCTGAGATTCATTTGGAATATTGAACAAAACGACAGCGTTTTGTTTCCTGGTTAAACGACGTCGTATGCTTCACTTATTTAACAATCTCCACCTTGAAGTATGTGGAAGTTGTTTCAGCAAGTCAGTTTAGTTGAGCAGCGAGCATTTCCAACTCCTTCTTAGTTCTGATTTTGGTTATCCCACATGTAATAAGTTCAAGCAGTGTGCTTGAACTTTGCAAGTGTCACAACCTTGGTTCCCATGTCTGCCGGGTTGTTTTCAGTTGGGATCTTTGCAGGTTCACTTCTCCTTGGAGATCATATCCCTCACAAATGATACCTTATGTCAACATGTTTGTTCTTCATGGTACATGGGATTCTTTCCAGATGGATGGCACTCTGACTGTCTGAATAGACTGTCACAGTTCCATCCAGCAGGTGGCCTCTTTCAGGAATCCTTGTAGCCATATGGCTCTTTGAATGCGTCAGTTACAGCCAGTATTCAGCTTCAGTTGGACAACGCTACCAGTGGTTGCAGTTGGACTCCAACTAAGCAGTTCCTCCTAGAGTAAACTGATATGCTGTGGTGGATTTCCGCGAACTCTATCACCTGCAAAATCAGAGTCTACATACCAACCAGATCAAGTGTGGAGTTTCTTTTACAGAAGTTTAGACCAACATTTTCTGTACTTTTAATGTATCTTAGTAGTCATTTCAAAGCATTCAGTGATCACAACCCAGGGTTAGACATGAATCTACTTAGAAGTGATATTGAATAAGATAAATCAGGTCTTGTACTGATCATAGAGTACATAACAGAACCAATGGTATTTGCATATGGTATTGTTTCCATTTAGTCTATCAGGGTCTGTTTTACGGCTTTGGGCTTTACTAAGGATGAAGTGACTTGCTAGGGGATGTGGTACGCTTAGAGTCACTCATTCCAAATTTTAACACAAGTTTTTGCAGATAAGGCATCTGATGCAATTTTAGGATGTAATTTTCCTGTTTCTCTATTAGCATACCAAAATTTTCTTAGCACAACCCAAATCCTTCATGTCAAATTCAGCATGCAATTTCCCTTCAAATCTCAATTTGGGCCTTAGATTTACAATTAATAGCTGTCATCAACGTATAATAACAAGATACAAGATTATTCGCATGTGCAAAATAGAAACAATTATCATGCTCACTTCTAAAACCCTATGCCTACTATAAAGGAGTCAAATCTTTTGTACATGCTAGGTGACTGTTGAGACC